GAAGGGGGAGAGGAGGTCTTGGGGGAGGGGAGAGAGGAGGATGGTGGGGAGGTGGGATTGGAGGGTTCTTAGGGCTGGGAGGGGACAATGTTAGTATGAACTGGGGGAACAAAAGGGGGAGAGGAAGGGGGAAGTGGCTCACTTTTGCCGAGCTTGACTTTGCGGTCTTTGTCTGGGGGTTTTTGGTCCGGGTCTGCGGAGGAGGGGAAGGATAGCGGGGGGTGGGAGTGGAAGTTCACTGCGGGTTGGGCCGGTACTGTTGTTGAAAGGGGGCGAGGTTGGTGTGGTAGTTGGGATGGTGGTTGTGGTTGTGGTTGTGGTGGTGAGGTTGAGGGTTGCTGGAGCTGTCTACCGGTTGTGGGAGCTGCGGGAGCTGTCCATGGTGTTGATGCGCATGTTGATCGCAGAGCTCGAGCTCTTGATGGTGTAGACATTGACGGTTGGATATGGCAGAGTGATATTATAGTCCTCGATCGGTGAGTGCTGCTGGCGGCGTAAAGTATAGAAGACGGATTGTGCCGGGATGGTGGTGCTTGTCGGAATGATGTCAGTGTCCGAATTTCTTTTGCGGCGCTGGCGATGAACGGCTGTCGGCGCTACACTCCATTGCCATGTGGTCCTGGCGCTGTGCTCGGAGCGGGGCTCCCGGATAAGACGATAAGTGAGAGATGCAACATGTCATGTCTGAGAGATAATCTTTTTGTAGACCTTAAGAAATAAATTGGAATCATGGAAGTCTCACAGGACGCTCTTTGGCCTCTGTATCACATCTATGTAGAGGCAGAACAGAATGGCTTGTGTGCTTTGTGATGTGGCTCAAACGCACTGATGGTGCCATCCGAGACATACAACGGCACGCCCCAAGAAGCCAGCATCTCGTCCCGCTGGCCATGTGGAAAGTCAGTCGACGGCAAGCTCGGTAAAGATGCGCTGGAAACCATAGAAAAAAGAGCAACTCCTGACCGGGCGGAATATTTTGGGTTCTGGCAGCTGATGACGATATCAGTCAGGCGGCAACCATCTGGGAAGGTCCCGCTGTCTAAGACTTAATTAGAGACAGGCCAGAAAGACAGCCCACTTGACGGTGGCACAGAACTGTAACTTTCTTCCAGAAAATATTTATTTGAAAAGATACAAGCCCCCAGTTTATGTTCGTTCCACCAACACCTCCTCGTCTTGCTCATCGCCTTGCTCATTCCGCCGTCTTTGCTCGCGATCAACAGTTGATAGGTACGCATGATACAGTGGTGTCGAGTACACCGCCCAGCCGATAAGCATCACGTGAGCCGCCCCCTAGTAGGCCCCTGCGTTTTGTCTCCAGCGGTCCAATCAAGTTGGGTCCACCCCCAGTTGTTCTGACGCCCTGACGCAGCCTTTCCAAGAGACGCCGACCGACCTGCTGCCTTCTACACATCATCAACCTTCTCTCAACTGCTGTCGGCGCGAACCGTACCCCGAGCCCCTCCATCATCACCATTACCACCACCACCACCGTCGAGCCGACTCCTCATCCTGATATCCACCCATCGCTATCACCGCTGCCCACCATGAATCCCGAGTAGTGAGTCGAGCCCAAGCCACCGACCCCTGCCGTCTGCCGCCCTCTTGTCGCTTTGTTTGCCTGCTAACCACCGCCTCTGTCAGAGTGTCTCTCCCACGACTGTCTTACTGGCCACGCCCCTGCAGTTCTACGGCCAGTCCCTTGCGTACAGCCCCTTCTAACGTCACACCAGATACGACTATCTCTTCAAGCTCCTCCTCATCGGAGACTCCGGTGTCGGAAAGTCTTGCTTGCTCTTGCGGTTCGCCGACGACACCTACACCGAGTCCTACATCTCCACGATCGGCGTTGACTTCGTATGCGTTCCCAAAAACAACCGAAACCCCACCAGCAGCGGCTAACCCGTATACAGAAAATCCGGACGATCGAACTCGACGGGAAGACCGTGAAGCTCCAGATTGTATGCCCCCCCCCCCCCCCCCGGAAGAGAAAGATAGGCAACAGCAGCACCGGCTAACTCGAAAGCTACAGTGGGATACTGCCGGCCAAGAACGCTTCCGCACAATCACATCCTCATACTACCGTGGCGCGCACGGCATCTGCGTCGTCTACGATGTTACCGATATGGACAGCTTCAACAACGTGAAGCAATGGCTCCAAGAAATCGACAGGTACGCCACCGAGGGCGTTAACAAGCTCCTGGTTGGCAACAAGAGCGATATGGCGGATAAGAAGGTGGTTGATTACCAAGTCGCAAAGGTAAGGCTCACATTTCCCCGCAACTGTCGGGATCACATGCCTCGGGACCTTGTTGGCCCCCGCAGCAACAAGGTGTGCATCGTGCTGACCCGTGGCGTTTTGTAGGAATTTGCCGACAGCTTGGGCATCCCATTCCTCGAGACATCAGCAAAGAACGCCAGCAACGTCGAGCAGGCTTTCTTGACCATGGCTCGCCAGATCAAGGAGCGCATGGGCAGCAGCATTGCCACCAACAACACCAAGGCGAACGTCAACGTGTCGCCTGGACAGGGTGTCTCCAACAACCAGTCCGGTGGCTGTTGCTAAACGATAATTTTGTCTCCTTAGCGTTGTGCGCCGTTGTTGTTTCTGGGGCGTTGGGACGGTTTTCTTGCATCGGATGGGCCGGATATGGTTAGATCTGCGGGAGCCGTGTGTGAGGGAAGGTTTTCTGTCTGTCTGTCTGTCTGTCTACCTACTCCGTGTGGAATCTATGCCGGGCTGTTGTTGGTTGGGCAAGTTACGCTTCTTAGGAAGTGGTTTGGAATTCGCCATGGGAAGCTACGCGGCTCTTTTTGGCTGGACTTCAGGTATGACTCCTAGACAGCCGCAGAGGAGAACGCCAGCATGAAAATGGCAAAGGACATACCACAAGGGGGTTAATAACTCTTTGGCACGGCCCAGAAGGCGCACAGCAGGACGGGAAAGGGGTGGGCGGACCCAAACAGGAACAGTACTGAATAGGGAGGTTTGCGGTTGGGCCTTTTTTTCTTCTTTTAATTTCCTTTGATGTCGTGTTTCTGCCATTGCTACTACCTACTACAGCTCTTTTTATGTGCGTCAGGTCCTGTCTGTGTCTGTGTTTTGTTGATTTGAGTTTGGGCATAACAAGGGTTCATTACATGGCTAGGTTTTGTCTAAGTAATACGGAACTCTGGCTTATCCATGTGATTTGTGTGTGTGTGTGAATGTGACCGCAGGTATTGTTTTGCTCCTGCGGCTTATTGAGATGCAATACTCGTGTTGTGCTCTTTCAACCGATGACGAGCTTTGAGAAGACTGAAGAACAGTAAAGACAATGAGGAAATCGGTACACAAGAAAAATAATTGTCACCGGTTTTAGCCTTCTAACCAAATGCTCACTGGAACGAAACACTCGATACTGCATTTACGAACACAGTTCAAAGACTTCTTGGATACCAACTGAACCCTAGAGAAACGCTGCTATATAAACTCCTTAAAAAATGGAAGAACTCCTTCTTGATAAACATTCGCAAATCCTCCAGCGACAATGCGTCCAAAATCATATCTTCATAAACCAGTTCCAAACTATACCCAAAACGCTTCATGAAATTTCAGAAAAGTAAGCAAAAGAAAACACCTCGCTCCTGCTTTTTGGGTATCACTTCCTGTCTGTTCTCTCTCTCTCTCTCTCTCTCTCTCTCTCTCTCTCTCTCTCTCTCTCTCTCTCTCTCTCTCTCTCTCTCTCTCTCTCTCTCTCTCTCTCTCTCTCTCTCTCTCTCTCTCTCTCTCTCTCTCTCTCTCTCTCTCTCTCTCTCTCTCTCTCACTCTCACTCTCACTCACACACACATAGATCATGTCGTTGCTTGATAGTCGCCTTCTTCTGCGTCTTCGCCCGCAACCCTAACAAGGTGCGGATGTCATGTTTGGTGGTTGTTGTTTACTTTTTGTGTTGTTGGTTCTTTGGGCTCCTTTCGCTTGATATAAGAGTGGTGTTTGTGGTGTGGTATAAGTTACGAGCGGTGTTGTGTTTTTGTGTGAATCCGACGGAAGCCAGTGTGAAGTGGTTCATTGGTGGGGACCGGTCGCTTTCCGTTTCATGACCCGGTGCATGCTGTGGTCTCATTCTGTAAATTGTTGACCATGGCCGCTCTCACTTCTGGGATGAGCTGCTGAGGAGTGGTGTGCTCGAGGCTATGCTGGAGATGCTCGTTTTCCTCTTGAGCTTGTTGAGGAGGGAGCTGCTGGTGCTGCCGTAGGGTGATCTTGGTTGTTGTTGTTGGGGCTGGGTTTGTGGTGGGGAGTAGTGGTGGCCTAGGCCGTTGAAGCAGCGGGAGCAGGGGCAGCTCATTTTCGAGTTGGTGTTCCTTGTATCTTCCTTGAGTGAGGAGTGGGTGGTGAAGGTGTGGTGTGGTGTTGAGGAACGGTGTTCTTGGTGTTCTTGAAACTTTGAGAGACTTTCTGATAGTCTGAGAAGCGTATAATGGAAGGATAAAACAACAAATAAGACGATTTCACCCAAGTTATATAGTTCTTCGAAAAGACCTGAAAAGATGAGTCCTGCGCTCAGGCCAAGGGTTAAACGTGGCACAGTGACTAACACCTCCAGGGTTGTAGGTGCATCCGTGACTAACACCAGTCCCTGTCTTCCTCTTGGCACACTGGATCTCGAGGTGGATAACAAGTCCGTGTAAGTGATGAAGCCCTTTGCCACTTTTTCCCGAATGTCGAAGAGAAAAGAGAAACCGAACTCCGAAAAAGAAGGGAGGGATATGAGGGGAAGATATATAAGAGGACAGAATTCATCCCATGCAGGTCCAGCCGTGCGTGTGTGAGCGTGTGTGTGTGTGTGTGTGTGTGTCCAAGCACATGCAGCACACCCCAAATCAAATCCCGCCCAACCCAACTCCAAACCAACCCTCCTCCATTTGGCGACATCCCGAGTGTCGCCCGCATCTTTGGACTTCTTGCCAAGAAAGGCAAAGTCATTCGACTAACACTCACCACCCACCCCATCCACATCTAGCCACAGCAGTTACCTATCAGTCGCCCATCAGTACCCAATGACAAGTCTTGTTATATATCGAAGCTGGTATCAAATCCACAGTAAGATTTGTTACATAAGTCCTAGTTATCTTATCGATATCATCATTTCTATCTACAACACCATCAAATTCACCATCTCCGCCATCGTGAACATCAACCCCCCCTTCAACCTCTTGCGTGAATTTACAACACCAAAAATCCCCCCCCCTCACCCCTCCCCTCTCCCTCAAAAGCTTGGAACTCACCATTCCGCCCGACCGGTCCAGCGGTGAATGGCCTGACAAAAAGCCCCCAAACCCAAGAAATCTCACCATCCTACCTTGAACAAGAAAGTTACCCCAAGTTTTTATTTTCCCCGCATTTTCACCTCAACCACCAGCCCCCTCATCCCAACGAGACGGACAAAACCACCCGTCTTTCCTCAAGTGAGGGGAGTCCTTTTACCAATTTACCCCGGATTCTAGAGCGCTCTCGACCCATTGGCATCCCACGTCCCCGCGTCCTGTGAAGCGCCTCGGCCGCAGTTAATATCGATATCTCGTTGGTAGTATCCAAATCAGCAGAAAGATCTAGACCGAATTCTCTCAAATTGGGACGGCAAAAAAGATCCCCCCCCCAGTGTCAGATGGGAAAATGTGGCATGTCTGTTGGTCGTTATCTGTCGATCATATAACATCAGCTATGCCCCCCCTCCAAAGACATGGCATGCCTTACATCCAATCATTCCCACCCCAGTCACACAGGCATCTCTCAACAGCATATGTACACAGCCAAAAATGAACGACAACGAAAAATACCATTTGTAGGTAACTCTATGCCATTCCCTTCCACACCAGACCCCCCTTTGCCCCTCCCCAACCCAATGTGCAAAAGCAGGTCATGCAAATTACCACTTCTTCTCCCACTCCCTCAAAAAAAAAAAAAAAGAGAACGCTCTGAACACAAAATGGTGTGGTTAACACATACTTTGCAAAAAAAGACGAACAACAAAATACAAGTGTGGCCTGGTCCCCTTTGAAAACCAACCGTCGACCCCCCTTTCCATTCCCATCCAGTCTATTTGAATCAACCCTTTAGGAACCGAGCTAGGAACCGCCTAGTGTTTAGGATATATACATACTTTAGATACCAAGAGTGAACTCAACGCCGACATCGATGTCACGAGCTGTAAAACCAACATGTCAGTTGATGTTTTGGCAAATTCAAAGAGCAAGAGAAACATACCCATCTTGACAACCTTGCTGAGCTGCACCGCCTTCTCGGCAGCGTTCTGCAAGTCATCGATAGAGAAAATCTTCATGCCCGAGTCGTTGATCAGACGGTGGGCCTCCTCCATGTTGGTACCCTGCAGACGGGCAATGATGGGGATCTTGAGGTCGAGCGACTTGACAGTGTTGATCAGACCGTGAGCAATGGCGTCGCAGCGGACGATACCGCCAAAGATGTTGACGAAAATGGCAGTGACCTTGGGGTCGCTGGTGATGAGCTCGAAAGCCTCCTTGATGGCGGCGGGGGTAGCACCACCACCGACGTCGAGGAAGTTGGCGGGCTGGCCGCCATTGAGCTTGATGATATCCATGGTGGCCATGGCAAGGCCGGCGCCGTTGACAAGGCAGCCGATGTCACCGTCGAGCTTGATGAAGTTGAGACCGGACTCGGCGGCGCGCACCTCATCGGCGTCCTCCTGGGTGGTGTCGCGCCACTCGAAGGCCTCCTTCTGGCGGAACTCGGCGTTGTCGTCAAAGTTGAACTTGGCGTCCATGCACATGACCTTGTGGTCCGAAGTCTCGGAGAGGGGGTTGATCTCGATCTGGGTGGCGTCCTTCTCGAGGAAGATCTTGTAGAGGTTCTGGATGGTCTTGACGGCATCGTCAACGCACTGCTCGCTGAAGCCGAGCTTGACGGCGATGTCGCGGGCCATCTCGTCCGTCACACCGACGTTGATGTCGATGTAGGTGGTGTTGATAGCATCGGGGTTCTCCTTGGCGACACCCTCAATGTCCATGCCGCCCTGCGACGAGGACACGATGACGGGGCCCTGGGAGCCACGGTCCATGAGGACGGCGAGGTAGAACTCGCGGCGGGCGAACTTGCGCTCGCAGATGTAGACGGAGTTGCAGAGACGGCCCTGAGCACCGGTCTGCTTGGTGATGAGCTTGTGACCGATCATCTGCTCGGCGAACATCTTGGCCTCGGTGGGGGAGTAGATGACACGAACACCGCCCTTCAGGCCGTTATCAAAGGTACCCTTGCCACGACCACCGGCGAGGACCTGGGCCTTGATGACCATGTCGTCGCTGCCGATCGACTTCGCGACAGCCTCAGCCTCGGCGGCAGACTTGGCGACGGCGCCCTTGGGGACATCGATGCCATACTATTCGACCGAGATCAGCGGGATGATTCTTCTCTCCTGCGATGAGGGACCAATTCGAGGGGTCCACTCTTTGCTATGTCTCACCTGTTTGAGGAGGTCGGCCGAGATGTATTCGTGGATGCTGAGCGCTCTCCTTTGTTGTTGAGCGAAGCTGGGAAGTCTGGGGGCGGGGGAAGTCTGTGAAGAAGCGGGCAGAGACAGATCAGTTTCAGGTTCACCGTCTTCACCGTTTGCGCTGCTGGATCTATTTGGCGCAACGACATACCTTGGGGGCAGCAAAGGCCGAGGCCAATGCGCGGTTGCGACCGAGTCTGAACATGATGTGTGGTTGTGGGTGTGTGGAGGAGGAGGAGGAGGAGGAGGGGAGATGTGCTTCGGTAGGAAAGGCAGCGAAGCGTTGTGATGGGTTTATGTCGATGATAAAAGTCGACGTTGGTCAATTTGGGGACCCTGTATTCACTTTTCGAAATGACGCTCCAAGGGGGGCAGAGCCAACCAACAGACGGCGGGCTGGGCAGCCAAGAACAGGTTGCTGGGAGCTGCACCTGGTCTGCGATAGGTCCGGGAATAACCGAACCAATGGCTGGCTGCTGACCGCCGCCTGAGCTGCCGAGAGGTTGAGCCGACACCTGCCAGACCCGCTGTGGCCGGCCCGTGCCCGATCTAGATTTTCGGCGTACGGAGACGCGAGGCGGGAGTCGACTTCCGCCGCTTCGATATATAAATAGGTATGCTATCTCGTAAGGCATTGATTTGCCTGCAGTTGATATCCCAAACCACTCGCGAGCATCGCGGTGTGGTATACAGACGATACCTTCCCATACCAGAAAGCTATGAGATGAACCATAACCAATGACATCAGCGCCCTGAACTTGAAGAACGGTCCCCGGACCAGATGGAAGCTCCCCACACCTGTCACTTTCCCCGTGGAGAGCGATGGACGCCGGTACTGAATCATGGCATTTGAGAATCCCGGTTTCATTCCCATGATCTGCCACCAAGGATCATACTAGTTTCCCTTGTCAAACCATTTCGGTTTTCACGTCACATGAGAGCCGGGTGAAAACAGATGTCATTGAAGGCAGGATGAGGCTTTAGCCGCAAGTCATCATGAGTCTCCAATTTAGTTTTGATGTGCTCTATTTACATGGTCAGCAGTGATGTGAAATAGGCTTCTCAACATACCTGGAAAAGAACAGTCTATTCCCACTGAGAATGTATCGTTGAGAAAACCATCTATAAATTCAATACCTGCATATCTATAGCTCCAACCACTGCATTCCTCGCAAGGCTATGCACCTACCGCAGCCCGCCTTAATCCCACCTTCCACCCCACCACCAATCAAACCCTCCCCAGCGATAAGCCAAAAATAATTTCCGATAACAGCTCACCTTGAACACCTTGATGAGCTTTCGTCAATCGCATATTCACATCCATCATTTCACATCCACCATCTCACCATCACCAACCTCACTGTCACCAACCTCATCAACAAACCCACATTCACCCCTTCTTCTCCCCCCCCCCCCCCCAAAACACCCCCAAAACTCATCACCATGTCCCAACCAGAACCCCCCCCTCAAGACCCAAAACTCCCCAAAGACAAATACACCTCCCTCCTCAACACCCTCTCCATCTCCATCTCAAAATCTCACTCCTCCATCCTCTCCTCCATCTCCCACCACCGCAAAGCTCCCACAACCAAGTCCTCACTCTCCTCCACCTCCCGCCACCAACCCCCTCCCCAAAGCAACACCGACTCGGACCTATCTTACATCCCCCCACCAAATCAAGGCATCGGCTTCTCCTCATCCAAACCCCTCCCCACAGCCCAACAGCTCGCAACTGACGACCTCAAGAAAAAACTCCTGGGGAAAAACGCCTTGCGACAAAAAGAGGAAGCAAAACGCAAGAAGGAAGAGAGCGAATCCGAGGATGAGGTCGGGAGGGGGGGGCTGGGACGCAAGACAAAGAGGGGGAGGGTAGCGGAGCCGGAACCGGCAGGGAGGAGGAAGAAGAAGGTCAGGGTTGAGGAGCCTAAGCCTGTCAGTACCGGTGAAGAAAAGGGTATTTCAGCTGCGGCTGTGGAGGGGAAGGAGGAGGGTGTAGAAGGAGATGTTCAGACGGAGGATGTGCTTGGGAACGACGAAAAAGAGGAGGAGGTAACACCACCGACGATAAATGGAAAAGAAAAGGTGGACGGGGAGGACGGAGAGAAGAAAAGGAAAAGGAAAAAGAAAAAGAAGAATGAGAAAAAGAAGAGAAAGGCATCTACGACAGAGGGGGGTGGTGATGGAGATGGGGCTGCTGTGGAGGGGGATGAGGAGGAGGACTGAGTTATTCCTCGATGTCTAATGTGCCGTTGTACCAAGCTGCCTTGAGAACGGAGCTTGACCAGTTGTTGTAGTTCATACTTGACCGCTGCAAAAGCACCAGATTAACCAAGCTACAATTGCTGATATTGTCCCATTCAGGCCGCAGCCATCAGTTCTATGCTGCTCTGCTGCAAGCCGTTGGATGATAAAAGAAAAAACTCCGTCCACCCACTTGACAACTACTATGCATAATAACCCGCCTTTGCTATGTTATTCAGTTCTTTGGTAACCAGACCCCCTAACCCCCTCGAATATGCCCCCCTTTCCTCAATCCCTTTACAACAATGTGAACGTGTTTCTGAGTTACACCCTTAATACATATATCCTCCCCCCCCCTCCTCGAAGCCAAATGCCATGCTTAGTTATCAAACTGCTTCTTCAACTCCTTCCACTTTTGCTTGAGGGTCTCATGTTGAGAATTGACCTAGTCACAAAGACGTTAGCATCATCAGTCGTCGATAGTGGATAGTAAAAGGCAACAACACACCTCAGCATACTGCACCTTGGTAGCCACCAGCTCCTCCTCCAAGTCCTTCAACTCCTTCTCCAACCTCTCATTCTCCTCGTGCACCTTCTCATTCCTCTTCATCAAATCCCCCCGTTCCAACTCCCACGCCTGCTCCAGCTCCTCGGGCTGCTTCTCAATCACAATCCTCAACTCCTTCACCTGCCCCCTCAAGCTCTCATTCTCATCCTTCAACTCCTCATTCTCCACCTTGGTCTTGACCAAATCCGTCGCCAGCTCCGCCTGCTCCCGATCATGAGCCTCGATCCTCTCCTCCAACCGCCTCACCCTGCTCGCATAACTCGCATTCGCCGACCTCAACCCCTCCAGCTCCTGCTCCCTCTCCTTCTCCGCCCTCGTCTTCTCCTCCCACTCCACCTTGTAAGCCTGCAGCACCTCGGGCGTAATCTTCACCTCGCACGCATCCCTGACCAGCTGATCCGCCCGGTAAACCTCCTTGTCCAGACTGCTGCTGCTGCTCCCAAAGAAACCATTCTCCAAAATCGAATTCGTCGACGGGGTGGCATCAATATAAAAATCAAACAGCCTGTCCTTCAAAAACGTCGTCAGGGCGCTCATGTCCGTGATCCCCAGCAGCGCCGCCGCGTTCTTTTGCATGAGCACAATGCCAAACCTCAAGATCGCGCTCAGCCCCTCCGAGAGGATCAAGTCATAAATCCTCAACACCAGCTGCAGCGGGAAGCGGTACGCAAACAGCGTCAAGAACCACTGCGTGGCATACAAGTGCGGCGTGATCCCCCTCCTCCGCAAGTGGCAGTACAGTGCCGGCTCCAGATCCTCCAGCAGCCTCTCAAACTGGAACAGCCTCAGGTGCAGCCCCGGCATGTCCGCCACAAACAGATCCCGCAGCTGGTAGTGATTCATCAGCCTGACCAACAGGCAAAAGGCCTCCTCCTCGGCCATGTTGAAGAGCAGCGGCATGATCAAAAAGTTCATGCCCTGCGCGTACCCAACCTGCTCGTCAAACAGCGCATACGCCTTGCACACGCCAAACAGGCCTTCCTGGAGCCCTTGGGCGGCAGCGTACTTGGAGTAGCTTGTTCGAGCACCCAGATCCCTCCTGATGACCTTTTCCAGCTTCTGAAGCTGAGCAAGATCTTCCTTATCCTTCTTCCTGCGCTCGGCAGCAGCGGCGGCGGATTTGATAGAGTCAGTCTCCTTATCGGTTGGCGAAGAACCACCGGTAGAGCCAGCCTCGGAGTTGACCGACGAGGCAGACGAGGCCGAGTCCTTGGTGCTCCCGTTGGTGATGCCATTAATCTCCTTGTCAGTGCCCCTAGCAACAAGTTCCCGATATACTATCTCGAGCTCTTCGTTCTTGCTCTGAGCCAGCACCTGCCAAATAACACCGCGGATGGCGCTCGGGATGCCGGTAGCAATCGCCTTATTCAGCTCCTCGGCACTCGTCCGGGCCACCGCCGCAGGACCCTCGTAGACAACGGCCTGCCAAAGATCCCAATCAACCGGCGTGTCGGTCATGGCAGAAGGCCCGGCATTGACACCCGAGACAGTGCCCGGAGCCAGATTCCGGTTCGGGCTTTGCGGCAGCGGCGAGGGCGGTGGTTTCGGGATCGAAACAGTATCAGCATCGCCGTCCTCATCACCTTGCTTCTCCTCGTCCCCATTCATACCAGGAATCCCAGCCTCTTCCCTCATCCGCAGCGCCTTGAACCGATCCTTCAAGCTGTTCCTCGACCCGATCGCCCTAGTCTCGTCATCCTCGTCCAGCTTGCTCAGCATCATCTCCGGATTGCTCGTCATGGTGGCGACCGAGCTAGCCGTATTCCTCCTCGGGGAAGGTGCTGGTGGCACAGGTGTCTCAACCTTGGTCGAGCTTCTCGAAAGCCATGAAAAGGGGCTGTTGAACTTCCGACCAGTCGGCGCGGGAGCAGCAGTCGAAGGAGGATTTGGCGAGGGCGGCGCAGCCGGGGGGCTCTTTGACCGAGTATCCCAGGGCATGCTGATGCTGCTAAAAGACATAGTTTTGGCAGTGTGAGCCTTTTCCGGGGCAGGGGCGGGCTTCTCTGCGATGGCAGGTTCGGGGCTGGTCGGGACGGGAACCTCCTGAGCTACTGCTGGTGCCGCAGCAGCGGGGACGGAAGCGGCAATTTTGGCTAGTTGGGTGGCGGCCGTTGGAGTTGAATCGTCGTCTAGGTTCACGTTGTCGAGAGAGCCGGCAGAAGCTTCAGAGACACGGGAGAAACGGCGCGATATTCTGTGGTCGCTCGTCGTCGGGGATTCCGGCTTTTCGACCACATCGGCGGGCCCATCGACATTGAGCACAGATTGCCGAGCGGGAGCAACTGGGGACTGAGGCTCCTCGTAGTCGGACTCGGTTTCCTCCTCCACGGTGAGGGGCGTGACCACGGACGGTTGTCGCTTGGTCAACGACCGGACCGAACCTGTCTCGCCCGACTCGACGGCATCTTCAAAGGTGTCCTGCTCGTTGCAAAAAAACAAATGATTAGTACGACATTGAGGTTGTGTGACGGTGTCATCGGGAGATGGCAGGAGGAGATTTGGGGTGGTCCATGCAAGACCAGCCAGCTCCCGTCAGCAGGCGAAAAAGTCGACGTACCGTGTCCTTGTCCGAGTCCCTTGATGGCGGCCTCTGCTCCTGCTGTGGTGGTGCTTTTGGGGTTTGGACCGTTTCTTGGTCCGCTACGGGAGAAAGCGGCGTTTGTTGCAGCTCCTCCCTCTCCTCCACGACAGGAGACTTGATCGTCTCCTCGATGGCTGTCGACATGGTGACCTTTACCGCCGGCGCAACCCTCTCCTTGTTCCGTCACCCTTCACCGGCGTTGTCGTATCACGTTCTATAATCGGCGGCGAAACGAGGTCGGAATGATGCTGTCGTAGTTTGCTCACGCGCGCAGCTTTGTGGCCATGAACAAAAAAAGGGGGTGGATATCCGTATGGAATCGACTTTCTAGATGGCGAGCGCCGGGGTGGATGATTTGGGTAATCGTTGTTGCAGCAGTGTCTCGTGTCAAGAGGGAAAACCGTTGGTTGAGGTGTCCTTCGTCAAAAAGTGAAAAAGAAGTCGTCGTAACAGGAGAGCAAAAAAAGAAAAAAGAAAAAAAACTGTATGGATTCTCTCTCCCTCTCTCTCTGCTGGAGTAAGATCAGGAAAAGTGTTCAGGTGGTTTTTTTGGAATGAAGCGCTTCGTTTGCGCCTGCCCGGACGGAGCCCCTTATTTCCAATCGAGGCTTCCGCTAAAAACGGGGGCCTAGGTTGCCAGCTGTGGGGGGGCATGGGGGGGCCCCTCTCAACAGGCGATCTCCTTGACATTAACCAACGGGGGCACTGCTCACGAGCTGACCACAGCTTCAGAACTTCAACCTCCACACCTCGGTCATCTTGTGGTAATTGTCTAATAAATGGCATTTCTCGCGTTTAATCGACACCCACGCCATTAAACACGGTTCCCATACCTCGACTTGACAGCTGTTCCAATTCCTTCTTGGCTCAGCCATCCATCATCCGTACGCACCACACTGCTGCATATCCAACACCTACAGGCAACTAACAACAAAGAACCTATTGCACAATCTATTCATTCTCCTCCTTATCAAACCGCATATACTCCGTACCCTCCCTCGTCTTCACATCTGTCCATGTCTTCAAGAACAAGCATCACCCCAAAAAACGCAGCTAAGGATAAGCGCTACCTTGGCGATACCTCCGCCATCCCCCTCACCACCTCATAGGCCACGGTACCGCCGAAGTCACACACCACCTCACCTCCACCCCTTCCGAACGTTTCGTTTCATCGTTTCAGCCCTTTCCTCTTTTGGTTGGGGGCTGCTCGTTTCCAGTTCTTCTGTCCTTCCACAGGATCGCCAACCGTTCCAACGCCTCTCCCGGTGCAGATCACCCTCACAGGCGGAGCTGCATCGTCCGATCTTTTCTTCCTTACCTCGAATCAGAATGTTCCAACCGGCTTCTGTTGCAGACGTCGTCCACCAACAGAACAGCAAAGCAAACAGTTTTGACAGCTGCAAACTACCATAATGCGAAACTAGTCTAACGTTACCTCATTCAACATGACTCCATTCACGTCATGTAGGAAAAAGAAGCGAGAGCAAATTCCACCCCCGGATGACCCGAGATTTGGTAAAACATTCAGTTCGCATTAACTGAAATCTCACATAAATCTGCCTTGCGAGGATATACATATGTATCGTCTCCGCAGCGTTAATTAGGACGGAAAAAAAAAGGAAATAAAACTTTGCGATATTGACAGGGCAATGCACAGATAAAACCAGGGAATCCCCACGATGTTCTAAATATATATATTTTTTGATATCTGGAGTCTCAAAGCTCAAGAGCTTCATCAGTCGCAAATATGTCTGGGTTCAACCCTATGAAACAGAAAACCATGTTGAACATGAAAAACAAGGGACAAAACAAACATTGTAATTCTGGATGAAAGTCACCCTTCACCACCTTCTCCTTCTCTATTAGTAGTATGCAATACAGTAGTACCCTCTACAGGCCACCCAGATCCAGCTGTCCAACTCGCATCTCATCACCTCCTCTGTGATGTGTCCAGTCCAGTCCTGTCGGAACCCTCACACCCTCCCAATCTAAAAAGTCAAAAAGAAAAAAGCTCGTGGTATCACCCCTTTCCCTTCCCAAGCCCAACGACCATCTACCCATCCGATCACCTTTAACCAAATAACGCCCGGAAAAAAAAACACAAAAGAAACCCAGTCGCTATGCATTCCCCCCTTCCTACCCATACCCAGAAACAAAAAAAAAAATCAAGCCAACCCCAACCACTTCAGCGCCTTCTTCCCATCCCCCCCACCACCACTCCCCCTCCGCCTCCCATACATAGGCATCAACCTCCTCTCCTCCTCATCCAACTCCCCGTAATCCTCCTCATCATACGACGACGTAACCGGCAGGTGACTCAGCGTAGCCACCTGTCTCAACCGGTTGTTATTCCCACCATTATGGCTCAAACTCTGGGAAGACGCCGTCCCCGTAGAAAACCCATACGGCCTACCTGTTGAGCCCTGCCCCCCAAGATGAACCGCCTGCCCCCTCGGCCTCCCCCACCCACCACCCCGCTCCATCTGCTTCTGCGCCGTCAACGGATGCGGGCTCTGCATCGTCACAGGCGTCACATTTCTCGAGATCGGCGTCATGTTCCTCGAGATCGGCGTCATGTTCCTCGGTGTGGGAGTCACAATTCTCGACCCGGGCGTCATATCCCTCGGCGACATCGCCCCCCGCGACAGCGCCGCCGAATCCCTAAAAACCGGCGGCCGCAACCCACTAGGACAAAACGATTCCGCCGGCGACGCAGGCGGCGTGTCCAACCCCGAGCTGGCAATAGAATGATGCCTCACCTTTTCCCCCTGCTGCTGATACTCCTCCGTCGTCTGCGTCCTTGCCGCCTTGATGATCAATGCCGGATAAACCTGCTTCCTTGTCCCCGTCCCTTCCCCCGGTCTCGCAACCTCGCTGATCGGCGTTTTGGGTGGCGTGTAAAAATCCGACACCGACACCAGCTGCTTCTGCACCGACGCAAGAAACGTGGCCGTGTCCGCCTCGCTGGCTACAGAAGGGAGGATGTAATCCGCCTGGGTGAATGACGGGGAGCCGAGCAGTGCTTCGAGTATGCTCCCAAAGTCCTCTTGTGACATGGGCGCAGTGGAGGATTTGTAGACTTCAATGCTGGGCGGTGGGGAGAAGGGTCGGTTGAGCGCCGAGGCGTCCCCGTTGATGACGCCGGCTATTCTCATGATTTCGTTCCCCATGAGTTTTTGGACTGCGAGGATGGTTTCGAGGTGTTCGGAGGGGTATTCGATGAGGAGGAACCGGACTTGAGGGCGGGAGCAGAGGTAGCGTTCGATGTAGGGGATTATCAAGGCCGCGAGGACTGCTCGGTCTGAAAAGGGGTTTGCTTGGGTTTGCTTGGAGAGTGGTTGGGCGGTGTAGGCTTGCATTGCGGCGCCGATGAGGTCTCTGTGTAGGGTTAGCAACTGATAGATGACGGGTTAGAAGTTGGGGGAGCCGTACCTCAGGCTCACGCGCCCAGTCCTAGAAACACCATCTTTGCAACCGAGCTTCTCAAGTAGTTGAACCACCTCATCAAGTCGAGCCTTGCTCACCCCAACCTCGCCACCCACTCCCAACATCATGTCAACCTTGCCCTTCCTCACATACCGGCTCACCACAGAAAGCTCGTCCCAAATGCTATCCGTCACCGACCCATCCCCCGACGACCTCGGCCGCCGCCGCCCCGTCCGCGTCTGCGCGCACTGTGAAGTAAGAATGGACCTCAGCGAATTCTGCGTCACAACCGACGTCTCCTCCCCAACCGGCAAACTCCAAAACCGCTGACCCCCCTCAAGCGCACTCACCGGCCTCGCCTCCGAAGGCGTCGGCGAATGCCCCGGCGTCGGCAACCCGTGAACCAACCCACCATTAACCCAACTCTGCTTCCTCCCATCACCCGCCGCCTCCGCAAAAGCCCCCGGGCTCAAACTCTCCAGTATCCTCCTCGTATTATCATACCCCTTCTCCAAAACCCCCGAGTCAAGGGCGGCGGTGGTCCGAACCGGCATCCTATCCGTATAATCGCCTCTCTGAAAGCCCTGAAATACCAAATCCAGCGATTCGTCCGATTGGGGTGTAGAAAGATGGATTACCAAATCCTCCCTCAGCGGCAGCACCGGTTCAAATGTTTTGTCGGTCTCGGTCGCGGCGGCGGCGGCGGTGCTCTCGTGATCGGACGGTGGTGGCTCGGTGGTGAGATTGGCGTTGTGACCTCGGCCCCACTGCTCAAACAAGCCCAAGCGGTGGTAACCTCCCATGTTGTCATCATCGCGGTCCACCCCCAAATGCCTCCCAAGGCTCGTCAAGTTATTTTCAAACGTCAGCTTGTCATCTGCCGACCGTGGCCTCTCATTTTCAACACGACACCCTCGAGAAGAAAACGACGGGTCGGATTGGTCCCCCTCAGCAAGGGGGGGCGGCGGCTCCTCCCTGATTCCAGTCCACCTAATAAGAGGCGACGGAATCTCAATCCTCAGAGGCGTTCGTCGGGTGCTTGATGGCAATGTCTTTCCGCAAGAAGATGAGCAAGGCGACGTAATAAGCCCGTTCTTGTTATCGCGCCCGTCACTCGAAGCCGCTGACGACGACGACCCCTTAGATCCCCCCAGCACTACACTCCCCGCGACAGAGTCCACCACCGACAAGCTCATGCTCCTCCTCACAACCTTCCTCTTCCTGATCTCCACAATCCTGACCGTCATATCAACCTCACTGATACCACCCGCCGGCTGCAAAAAAGCCGTTTCCCTATCCAGCAAATCCGCCGCCCTCATCGCCCTGGTCACAGGGTCCTCAAACGGACTGTGGCGTTCTCCCTGCTGGACAAGCACAGTCTCCTTTGGCAACGATGGCGTGGCATTCCTGAGACGCAACGGTCGCGGCACTAGACCGGCAGATCTCGGGCTAGCAGCAACAACCTTGACTTTCTCCAAGGCCGCTACCGAAGGACCGTGGTTCTTGGCGCAACGGCGTGAGGCTTCCCTAGCAAGGTGAGCAGCACCTTTGCTAGCCAGTTGGCAAAACACCAGATCTGCCTCCTCGACGTTGCCGCTGGTTTGTTGCTTGCTGATCGCCGAGAGACATAGCGCGTGGGCTCCGACTGTGCCCCCGTGTGTGAACACGATGCGCCCTTCCTCGGGTGTGGATTGCTGCAGGAACTCTTGGGCTTCGGCATGTCGTTTTTGGGCGGCGACATGGACCCTGTGGATGAGCTGGGTGGCGTCAGGGTAGTCGTCTTTGTTGATGTTGCCGAGGTAGTGTTGGAGGGCGGGGAGGATGAGGATGCGAGGTGAGGTGGGCAGAAGGCGCAACTGGGTCGCTACCAGTCTTGCTGGACCTTCCAATGCCACCAGACAGCCGTTGAGCTCTGGCGAGCCTGTCGATTCTGCCATTTTGTTGTCGTCGTCGAGAATATTTTCTCTGAATTATTCGCCGTGGGATCTTGTCGTCTGAAGGGTGATGGCAGCAACGACCCGGCCATAAAGCATGCTCAGCCCGTCTCCAAGGAAGTACCAGGTATGTTCTCTCGTCGTTGGCCTGGCAATCAGAGAAGAAAGAGAAAGCGGAAAGAAATGCTCGTAAGTCGTAAGGGTTGGTTTATACCTGCTGTGCGCCCAACAACCAACAATGATGTCGCTTAGACAGCCGGTGGCTTGTGAAGAAGAAAATCAAGAGAGACCAGGCTCGGGCATTGCAAATGCACCTGAGGAAATAAAGCGATGTAAAAAGTAAAGGAGGACGAGAACAGGAGGGGGTGGCTTACTCGAGATAGAAAAAAAAAGAATTGGGTCGCAAATGGGCCAAGTCGCAGAGCAGACAGACAGAAGACAAGGGCGGGCCAGACTCTGGATGAAGTGGATGCGGGTATCCAGAATCGCTCACTCACTCATGTGGGTAACACCACCGGTTAACCGTAGCGTCCTAGTCCTGGGTTTTCCCCAGCTTCCTAGTGAATTGAAACGGAGGCTTATTATTTTTTTTCTAGAATTTTTGGGGGTTTGCCAGCCTGGAAGCACCAGTGCCACTTGGTTGCGCCTTGCAAACGGCAGCCAAAATAGAAGCATCAGGAGGAGGGGCTTGCTCCCAAGTGGTGTGGGATGGAAACGGGCTTGAAAAAAATAACAGAGGAAGGGAACAAATAAACTTGAGTATTTACCCATCAGTCCAACCAGTCATGGACGGGGTTCGGTGAAGCTAATATCCATAATAGCAGGATGTTAACAACAAACCAACACCAATGGAAGCTGGGAAGGATCAACTTTGGGTATCAGTCAAATCTGACAGACATATCTCTCCGTTCTCCATAACTACTGAGGTATTTTTTTTTCTTTCTGGCCTTCTCTCCCTCTTGGATGCTTCGCTTCCATTGCACCACATACGGTGGTCCGGACAACGTACCACCCTTTTTTTTTTCCTCCTCGGCCCTCATGCCGAGGAGCATAAACGAAGAACAACGTCTCTTCCGGCCTTCGGACCTTCAGTCGGGTGCCAACATGACTTCGAAACACCTTTAGCAATGTTGTGTGAGGGATTCAGACCTTGTTGGGAGGAGCGGGTCTCTGTAAGCGCCTCTTGCAGACCTGCCTAGTGTGCGCACACCAACTCTCAACTTTTATCACCAGGAACAGCGTTTGTGAAAGGAGGAATATGTCGTTGTGAGTGAGAGACAATGCCACGCCACCATCATACTTGCTGCTGCGGAGGCTGCTGCATGTAGGTAGCTTGGTCAGACAGAAAGAAAAAGGGGGAAAGATCAGCTCAGTTTACACAATATGCAAGCAATCACCACATGCTGCGAGAATGGGTGGGTGGCTTGGGTGAACCGATGTGTGAACCGATGTTGATGAAGTGTCTGACATGAGGAGAAACAAGGCTAGTTCCATGCAGGGATTTGACTAAAAAAACGGAGGGTTCCATAGTGTGTGTGACGGATATTCTTCCACAAAACAATGGCACAGCAAAGTAAGCCAGATACATAACAACTCATAGCTACACTCCAAGAACAGTTGGCACACTTTGAAATACAGGCATCACTCTCTCCTCAAGATACTTGAAGACCTCTTGATTGACCGAAAGGCCTACTTGGTTCCTTGTACAGGGTAGACAAAGGTGCCATGATCGTCAGCCATTCTCCCCCGCCCAATATTTTGTCCAGTCAGGCAGGGCTGACCCACCGTGAGATAGCGCTTCTGGGCAATCCCGATCCGGGGATGGGCCCTCCATCCCGTGTAAAAATAGTGACGTACCGCTGTCCAACCCCTTCTCCTCCCAGCTTTGATCTCCCAGTGGTTCGCCAATCGTTCGACAGATTTGGGTTGTCAACAACACTCAGTCCTCGTCCCACGGTACCCAAGATGTTCCTCCAGACATGACTCTTCTAGTGACAAACGGCAATTTATTTTTCTGACACCCCGTTATCCTTGCTTTTTTCCGGAGGCGCTGTTGATGGCTCTAGTCTCTCTACGCCGTACCAACTGCCGGCAAGGCTCGGGGGCTACGTCTAATGCAACTTCATCTCATTCAGCCAGCCAGCTTCCTTTGACTCGGCCGATGTCCATTCTCTACAACTTGCTGATGAATGCAAGTGCTCCAAGACATACATACATACACCTGAAGTGGCGTCAATAATCATGGCTTTCGGCCATTTCCGGGGAAATATAGCTGGCAAGCCCCGAGATATTCCCAAGTTGTTATGGTGTTGCCTTGAAATTTCATTATCACCGACCAACCTCGCAGGGCGCTTCCGTCCGTCTCGAATAGCACGCCTCTACGCAGCCTCCCGTCAAGCTGAGCGGAAACATGCAGCTCACGCTCAGTCCTTGCAATCACGCGCAATCAAACCCGGTGGCGTCCCAGGAACCACTTGTAGAACGACGGGAACACTGAAACAAGCAGGTCTGGAAGAGCAACCCGCAGCAATACGCAGGAACACAGTGTCTGAGGGCAAAAGATACGAACTGCAAGCCAGGGTGGCGTGCCCGAGCCTAAGCCTGAGGTACTTTCTATTCTTCATCGTCGTCCTCCATCAGGGCAGCGAGCTCTGCTTCCTCTTCGGCACTCAGCAGGCCCTCGGGTTTAGTTTCCTCCCTTTTTTCCTCCGCGACAGGCTTCTTCTGTTCTTCAACCAAAGTGTCCAGACCTGCCTTTGCCAAGGGCCACACCCGAACAGTGCCGTCGATACCAACACTGCAAAGTCTCTCAGCCGACCCCTTGGCATTCTTCAAGAGCACCAGCTCAGTAACCTCATCATAGTGCCCCAGCAGAGAGCAGTACAGCTTCCCCGAAGCCCGATCCCAGAACTTGATGTCCTCGTCCCTCCCAGCCGTGATCACCCATTGGTCCGTGACAGCCACAGCGCGAACATGATCCCCATGTTGAAAACTGTCCTCGCAGCTGAAGTTCTTTATCCTCGACAGGCACTTGGCCGTCCCGTCTCCGCTCGACGTCCACAAGTCGACCTCGTCCCCGTCTTGGTCGAGTACGAGTTTGTAGACGGTTGTCTCGTGCTCCAAAATTGTCCGCCTTTCCGTGCCGGGCGCATTGGGCAGCTCCTCGACCACCTGCTCCCAGCCGTCGGTCCGAATCTTCCACCGTCGAATATGCGGGTCACTGCTGGCACTGATGAGGGAGATTTCGGATTCGGTTGAGGCTGCGTGGTCGACGGCTAGGTCTTGGATGCTGAGCATGTTGACGACATCGTCTTTGAGGGTGTGGAGGCGGGCTCCGGAGGTGATGTCCCAGACGATGATCTTCTTGTCGGCGCCGCCGCTGATGAGGATGTCTTTGCCTCGGAGCCTGGCGCAGACGACTGCTTTGACAAAGTCTGCGTGGCCGATGTACTTTTTCCCTGGTGTCTTGGTGTCCAAGTCCCAAGACCAGACTGACTTGTCCCAGGCACCAGCAAAGAGTGTCCCGTTGTTTGAGCCTCCGACGGTGACACAGCTGACTGGTGTTGTTGGGCCGCGATAGACTGTTTTGGTGTTTTCAGGATCCTGTTCACTATCAGCATATGCTGTGGGTTGCTAAGGAATCCAATCACTTACCTCAAAGTCCACCCTCCTCACAGCTCCTGCAGACTCGGCAACCAAGACAGCAGAAGACGGGGATCTGGGGTCCAGCACAGCTGCGAGGATCTTGGACTTTAAGACGATGGGGTTGCCGTATTTGTTGCCAGACTTGGCCGCCCTTCTTTGCCTTGTGGCCTGCTCTGCACTTTGTTGGTGTATAGGTTAGCTCGTGATCCAAACACTCACGAATAGGGGCCCCTGTCAGTTTGGATAACTCACTCTGTCTCGAAAAAGTGACCTGGGTCTGAGGACTGCATCTTGACTGCGGGGTTATCGATTTTGAACTGGGAAAAAGGAGATAAAAGAAGAGGAAAACAGCCCCTGACTTATAGATCTGGAAATACAGCTGCCTGGCCACCCGGAAGATGTATATTCTGCTGCCTTCAGTTCATGATAGTGTAATCAGTGGTCACCAGTGGATCAGTGCATGCCCGACAGAAGGGGATGGAAATGCCAGGCCGTGACAGCTGACAGTGCTTGATGCGTGGTGTAGTGTAAGTGGGACACGGGCCAATTGAGGCGGGGCACGACAGCAGCGAAACGCGACCGCTAAATTGAAACGCGGTGAGACGCGTCTCCTTTTCAGCGGATGTTTCTCCTGGGGCGCAACTTTCACCGCCCAGCTGCTCAAACATCCCCGTCAGTTGAATATCCACAGGGGACTGCTACGACGACGACAAGTACACCTCTGCTGAGTTACTGTTTCATCTATGCGATAATAGAACGGATCGACTCAGAGTAAACACCACAATGGCGTCGTCGGTCATCGCATCCCGACCAAGGGCTCGCCCAGCCCACACCTCGGGCACCACGAAATGCGCCTACACTCCAGACGGAACAAAGCTGGTCACTGTCGGCTCCAACAATACCATTCGTGTGTACAAGACCGGCTCAGACGGCGAGCCTGACAATGTGGACGACTGCCAGGAACAAAATGTTGCGGTATCAACAAGCAACAAGTTCTTCGTTGCCGGCTCGGAAGATGGCACTCTCGCTTACTACTCGCTCGAGACCAACATGTTTGACCGCCTCCTGACACGGACAAGTCTCCCAGTTCGCGATGTTGCCCTCTCTCCAGACGACAAGTGGTGCGCTGTTGCTAGTGACGAGCTTACGGTCAAGCTGGTCAACATGGAGGATACCACGAACCTGCTTACGCTGAAGGAGCATGGAGAGCAGACGAAGCATATCTCGTTCGACCCCAAGGGCACCATGCTTGCGGTCTCATGTACCAATGGGATCATCTACATTTACTCTTTGACGGCGGATCATCCCGAGCTTATTCGAAAGGTGGACGGTGTCATTGGCAGGGTGCAGACCGACTCCGAGGCCTCGACCAAGGTGGTCTGGCACCCTGATGGCCGTGCTTTTGCGGTGCCCACGCCTACGAGGGATATTCAGGTTGTGTCCAAGAATGACTGGGAGAAGCAAAGGGTGTTTTCCAACGGGCATGAGGGGGATGTCACGGCTCTTGCTTGGTCTCCCAACGGAGCGTTGCTTGCCTCAGCCGGCAAGGACAGGAAGCTCTTGATTTGGTCCACCAAGGACCAGAGCGTGGTCGCCAGATATGAGTACCCCAACGTCGTCGACATCGCCTGGCACCCAACCAAAAACCTGGCCTCCTTCACTACCTCTAATGGAGAAGTGTTCATCAGCCCAGAGTTTGTCTCGGAGCAGTTTGCTTCCATGCTCAAGCTCCCCCGGCAACCGGCCCCTTTTATCCACGACCCCCTTGAAGGAATCTCCAATGGCCTCGACAAACAACCTCTTCCTAGCCGTCCCCGAGCTGGTACGCCAGATAGCTTCGACGACCTCCTTGATGATGACGTAGTAGAGGAGGATGACTTTGTTGTGGACGACGACGGTGCGGGCTATGCGCTCAACACCGGCCGAAAGCGTCCCGCAGACGACACCACCGACGGCCAACCCCCTTCCAAACGAGCCAACTATGCCCTCCAACTCCAACACCACCCCCCTTTCCAACCCGGCTCCACCCCCTGGCGCGGCAACAGAAAGTACCTCTGCCTCAACCTAATAGGCTTCATCTGGACCGTCGACCAAGACAGCCATCACACCGTCACGGTCGAATTCTACGACCACGAATTCCACCGCGACTTCCATTTCACCGACACGTTCCTCTACGACCAAGCCTGCCTCACCAACACGGGCTCCTTGTTCTCCTGCCCACCAAAAGACGACGCCCCAGCTGTGGTCTTTTACCGTCCCCACGAGACCTGGACGCAGAGAAACGACTGGCGGATTTCCCTGCCGAAGGGTGAAGCCGTGTTGGCCATGGCCCTAGGCGAGAATTTTATTACTGTCACCACCACGGCGAATTACGTTCGGGTGTACACCCTCTTTGGGATTCCCTACCGAGTCTACCGCCCCAAGTCTAGCCCTGTGGTCACCTGCGCGGGATGGAACGACTACATCATGACGATTGGCAACGGCCCAGTAGGCGCGGACGGGATGTCCAGGCTCTTGTACTCCATCTACAACATCAAGCGGGATGAAATCTGCCAAAACGAAGACATTGTCGCCTTGCCGGACGGTGCCTCGTTGAAATCAGTCTTTTTTTCCGATGTTGGCGTAAGGCCCTCCGCCCCCCCCCCCCCCTTTTTTTTTTTTTTTTTTTTTCCCACCATCCAGCCCTTCTAACTTTGCGTAATAGGACCCATGTATATACGACACAACAGGAACCCTCCTAACCCTCCTCCACTGGCGCCTCCCCTCCCGCGCCTACTGGGTTCCCCTCTTGTCAACCTCCCTCCTCCCACGTCTCGCCTCGGGCCGAAAAAAGGAATCTTACTTCCCCATCGCGGTGGCGGACAATAAATTCCATTGCATCATCCTAAAAGGAGGGGACCAGTACCCTTACTTTCCCCGGCCTTTACTCTCCGAATTCGAGTTTTCCATCCCGCTTTCTGGACCGCCCAAACCTAAAAAGTCAAAACCCACCAACGACGACGATGACATGATGCTCGATCAATCCTCAGACTCGGATGGAGAGGACGACGCGGCCGGGGAGAGTGATAAATTGATCCAAGGGTTCATGCTGAAGAGTATCCAAGCCTCCCAGCTCGACGACCTGCTAGACGCCACGCAATCAACCGCCTCGCAACGCGCGCTGCGGTCGAGGCTTTCGTTGGAGATTGATAAAACGTTACTGCAGCTCCTGGCAGTGGAGTGCAGGGAGGGGGGTGAGGAGAGGGGTATGCGCGCGCTGGAGGTTGTCAAGCTCATGAGGGACACGTCTGGGAAGATGCTTGAGGCGGCGGGCAAGATTGCCGAGAGGTATGGACGGACCGTCCTGGGGGAGAAGATCAGGGAGTATGGCGAGGAGAGGGTGGGGAAACAAATCAGGAGTAGGAGTGATGGGCGGATGTCGACGCATAATCACAGAGGGTTTGGGAGTGGGGATGAGAGTGACTTTTGAAAGAGACGGAAAAAAGAGAAGAAGGATGGGAACATGAGTAATGATGGATATTGAATTGCATTGGGTATCTAGTTATCTGTTGTTCGAGTAGAAGCATGGTATAAAAGATTCTGTTTGTGTTCATCAAGGGCCCGTCTCGGTATTTGGCTAGTCAGAAATCCGTGTTGATAGTTCGTAGAGGGAGGAGTTGCTCTAGCCTGGCTCTTGAAGACTAATTTATATATAGACAGTTGATTTCCAATCAAGCCTGTCTTGAAATCTATCAACTCAAAACAAAGTAGACACTTGCAACTTCACAACAGGAAGAATCACCAAGAGAAAATCACACAAGACAGCAACGGCACAAAACAAAAATGGCTTGACCTGGCTCGATTATTCGCGCGAACCGCTCTACTGGTGGGTATATCATTTTCCATTGCCCTATATCCCCGATATCCCCGCGCCGTGCCTGTTACCGGCGAATGCAGATGGGCAGCCCTAAAACGACAAGAACACCATGCGGGAAAACCGACGCGAACCCGAGCTCAGACCCTATTTGTCCTTTTTTGTCCTCACACGCAAGCGTGACGCTTACTTGTGGTGGATCTTGCGCTGGTAGAAAGCGAGCTCCTCACCCTCGAGGATGTAGCCATCGGCACGGCCGGACTGGCCGGGGCGGGAGGCGATGACGGCGTAGAGACGACCGGCCTCGAACTGCTTCTCGAGAGCGGGGTCGACCTTGCCACCGGCGGCGAAGCGGGCAGCCTGCTTCTTCTCAACAGACTTGGACTTCTTCACCTCCTCAACGGTCTGACCCTGCTTCTGCTGGCGTCTACGGCCGAGGGGCTGGCCATAGTGGGCCTCGTACCACTGACGGAAAGGAGCGGCATCGATCTGGACGACGGCGGACTTGGTCAGGGTGTTGGTGCGGACAAGCTCGTTGTTGGAAGGGTGGTCTAGCAGAGGTCAGTGTCTGAAACTCAAGGTCTTCAGATTTTGGGAAGAACATACAGGCGACAACGATGACACGGGTCTTGCGGGTGGTACCCTCGGAAGCCCAGGCAAAGTTACCAGAGTCGAGACGAAGAGCGCGGTACTTGTGGTTACCACCGCGGGTGCGGACGGTGTGGATGCGCTTGGCACCGATACGGGTGTTGGCGGGCTGGCGACCAAGCTCGAAGGCTCTCTTCTTCCCTGTTCGCTACTGTCAGAAATTGCTTTCATTCCTAGTGTGCGATGACAGGCTCAGAACGCGATGGGTTGCTAGTTCCTGTGACGGCCCACGACACAGCCACCTCTCCGCTCCTCTCGAGAAGCAAGAAAAGCACCCAGTGTGTGAACCACCACAGGAACCTCCATGCGGACCTTCGAGTGCCCCCAGATGTCGAGGGGCAAATGTATTATGATTAGGAAACGGGAGGAGGAAGTTAGGACATACGGTAGAAACTGCAGCACGAGATAAGTTAGCAACCGCCATCTTGGATTCCATCGACACCAGCCAGGAGGACGAAAGGAAGGGGATTGAACATACGCCCGCTTGGCACCGGTGTGGGAGCGCTTATGCCGAGAGTCACGAGAGATACCCATCTTGCCGGTTTCTGTTGTGAGGTCGGGTTAGCAAAATTGTTCGTGATGCCGGTCGATGGTGGATATTTCGCGGCGGGAGTCGAAGGTTGAGCAGGGCTGCAAAATTCTCGGAAGATTGAATCTTTTCGAATCTGCAGATATCGGCTCTCGCTTCGAATTCCGTCGGGCTGGTCGAGGGCAATGGGTATCGTGGTGGTTACTTACGTCGTTGGTCGTTGACTACTGAACGGTTGTGGAAAGGTCGGGGCAAGGCGCGATATGTTTTTGCAAACTGTGGGCGAAAAAAATCGGCGACATTGTAGGGCCGGGTCCGTGCTGTGGAGCCCTAAGAGAGAAAGCACGGGCCAACCGAAGAATTGGTGGGGAAGAAGGCCCGCTTTGTCGCTGGCCCTGCCGAGCCTTGCAGTCCAATTGCGCCAAGATGCCTGTCAAATTTGGGTAAACAACCATGTGGAGGGTTGGGGTTGGCAATGATGGCTCCCAGGAGGCCCCTTCAAGCAGAAAGCCTCGCGGAGTCTGTCATCTGTGATCGAGCCTGAGTTGATGTCACCAATCTGCAGTCACTAGTTACGATAAGGAAACACTTGTCCCACGCCATACGGTAGTGACAGTCCTTTCGCTCTCCACAACGAAGCACAGAGGGGGGGGGGGGCGGGGGCATTGAAAGCTTGTACATCACTGCCATCAATCGAAGTTGGAGCCTACGACCAGACATAGATTTCGGTCATAGTAAAAGGTAACATTGAAGCAATGCTTCAATCTGAATTGTAAGCTCTGGCAAGTCTCTCAACTCCAGTCTCTGAGCTACACATCTATGTAAGTGTATGCATATGTAAAAAAGGGTTCGTAAGTATGTACGGTGAAAGTTAGTTAAATGAAATCAGTCCAATCTTCATCAGATGTGTCCCGGGCAGCAAAACGGCCCAAAAATCAGGGAGGAGACAAGTAGTCTCTCCAAAGAAATAAATCATACGCAAAACAAGGGGGTATCCGCGACGTCTTTCTCCTCGACGTCTTTTTCTTTCCTCATACAAATCATTCCAACCTGAAAATCCCCTAATCTCATGACGTAGCAGCCGCAACGTTCCTAGTTTGTTGTGGCTCTTTCTCCTGTGTCACCTCCTGATCTGGTTTCTGGACCTCTTGATCGTTAACCTGGGGTTGCTTTTCCTGCTGATTCTTGTCCTCCGCCCTTATTGGTGCTTGGGGCTGATTTGGCTGAGCCGGCAACACGACCGGGCTCTGGGTTGGCTGCTGTCCCTCTTGCTGCTGCACTGGCGAAGGCGACTTTGGATTCTGACCACGTCTAGACATACCCCTCTGGACTGTAACCTGCTTCACAGTGCCAGGGGCAAATCTTTGCGCTCCCAGACCAGGTTGCAAAACAAGCGGTACGGCACCACCCTTCTCCCCGCTTCCTCTCCTCACGCTCGGCTGCCTCCTTGTCCCTGCCGTTGCGGTCGCCAAAACCACAGGTATGTCGTCCATGGGGTGGGATCCCAATGCTGAGACGGGGCTCACTGGTAGTGCGTTATAAGCGGACACCGGCGAGTCCATGGTGTCATTGGCGCTGGGCATGTAAGTTGCGCTGGTTTGGGGAACGAAGGGCTTGTACTGCCTGGGCTGATACTGTGGCTGGTTCGGATAGGCAGCAGACTCCGGTCGGTACGGCTGGAGAGGCTGGGGCGCTGGAGGGATACCGTCAAAAGAGAACCGTGGAGAAGCGGCTGGTGTCGACATGGGGCTCGGAGCTGGGTAGTAGTTTGGCGATTTCTCAGGCGGGGGGTGGTTATGATGAGCCGACATTTGCGTATCGGGGATGGTGGCTAGAGCGGCGATGGTGGTACCAGAGAGAGGAGAAAACTGAGCCGGGGTTGCTTGTTGCAGATAGGGCGATGTCGTAGCAGAAGAAAGCTTGAGTGGCGGCGGGATGGCGGATGCTGCAGACGATGAAGAAATCGAGGTAAAAGAAGGTGTTTCGGACTGGCTTTGGTGTTGGCGCGGAGGATCTGAGAAGGGCGACACGACCGGGACAGGCTGTGGTGGCAGTTGTTGTTGGTAACCCGATGGTTGCTGTTGCTGATAAGCTGATGGTTGCTGTTGTTGGTAGGCGGATGGTTGCTGCTGCTCGTATTGCGATGGCTGGTAAGAAGATTGCTGATATGTAGTAGCTTGGGAGTGTGCGTATGTGGACTGTTGTGGCGGTGGAGCCGATTGCTGGTAAGTTTGCGGTTGAGATGGCGGTTGAGATGGCGGTTGAGATGGCGGTTGCGCAGATGGCTGCTGATACATGGGGGGTTGAGGAGGCCCGTCCGGAATCTGCGTCTGGCCTTCCTGCTCTCTCTTCCGGCGACGGAAAAAAATGAATGCAAACGCAATGAGCGCGATAGCTCCGATAGCACCAATGACACCTCCCGCGATAGCACCGGCGTTGGACGAAGAACTCTCGGCCGGGACCACAGCGGCAGCATCGGACGAAGTGGCTGCGGGGGCGGTATCGACACTGGATGAGGCTGTCTCGAGTGATCTATCCGTAGCTGACGCTTCCGTCTCCGTCTCCGATGACGAGCTCGACCCTGACGACTGCGATGAACTACTGCTGCTCCTGACAGCAGTGGTTGTGCGCCGAGTTGAAGTGCGGGTTGGAGTGATGGTAGACATGGTTCTCGTCTTCTGGCCCACATGAGTCGTATCAGCTTCCTTGATGCTTCTCTGCCTGAAGATACTGCAGTAATAGTCGACGGCTCCAAGCTCATAGCTGATGGTGTTGCACAGTTGCTTTCCGAACGCCGAACTACGAGACAGTCAGTACAACCGATCCAACACATCATCTCACGTAATGCTACATGCCACTTGAGGATTTGAGGATCCGCCTGGCAATCCTCATCACAGTCCTTGAGGTCCTTCCTGTCCAGACAGGCTGTGTGGAAGTTGCAGCCTCCATTGCCGCAGCAGCCTACTCCAGCCGGAGATCTGCCTGAAGCCGTGATGAAGATACATTGCTGTTCGTCCGGGCAGGTCAATGGGTCACCTAGAAATAGTTAGCACCATCTTCATACACGGTGATCCAGAGCTATACACACGTTTGTTGCCGTCGAGATAGCCGCAAGTGTTATCGGGAGCGGCGATGTAGTTTGAAGGCCTGCCATTCTGACGTCGCAGCAGCGCGTTCACAGCCGGAGCTTCTGTTGGTTTCGGCGTCCACCCAAGACCGTCTTCCACGGCAATGACACCGGTTGGCTGGGGACCTGGAAAGGCCAGTCCCTCGACCGAAATGCCAAAGAAGGCGAGCTGACAAAAAGTAGATATCCTCATCTTTATCTTTCGCTTGCTGGCTTGCGTCACCTGAATCACAAGCGACGGTGACAGTGACGGTTGGGAAGAAGAGAAAGCATAAGTCAGAGCGGGTTTGGCATTACGGTGCCGGCCAGCAGGCACAAGAAAAGACGCACTCCTTTCCGGGTCAGAGGTGATCGGCAGACATGTGCCATGGGTAGGAGATGTTTAAAAAGAGGACTCCGTGTGGGAAGCGGGAGGGGGACTGGGGTGTGAGACATTGGCGGGCAAGGATGGGGAACCACCACCAGCAGATGACAGCGCACACGGGACACAGGATTGACGAAAGATGGCTCCCAGCAACCTGGGAGGACTTGTTTATTGCATGTACCTACGGGGTGTTTGTGCTACGGCCGGCCATTCCATTGTAATGCGGTGTGGGAAACGTTGGAACAAACAAGTTGTTTTTATGAAGCTCTGAAGATGCGGGCCATGTCGATCTCAGGGGTTGATGAAGTGAAGAAAAGCTGTGCCTGGCGCCATGCATCCAAGAAACAGAAACATGCAGAGACCCTTCCTTTAATTTCACTGCCCCCAGAAATATCCCTGCAGCGGTTCCCGGCTCTTGGAAAGACGCTAGGCCCAGTGAGGAATGAGGAACGGCGGGGGCCCTGCCAAGCTCCGCACTGCACGCCAGATCGAACGGCCCCACCATCGGTGCCGAGCAGACGTCCTCCGTTGCCTGATTCTCTGATATTGATAGTATCGATATCAATTTATCAAAAGGTCCACATCTTCAAACCATGACAGACCTGCTGCGAGTCCTGCCAGAATTCCCAGTCAAGCAGTTTGGCGGCCTCATCTCAGCCCTCGAGTCACGCGGGTACACCACCGCCGACCTCCTGACCCTAGATCCTGCTGAAATAGAAACCAGAACCAAGCTGCCAAATGTGAAGCGATTATGTGATGCCATCTTGAACGCCCTACACACCGATCTTGGTGTTGCAGATCCACCACCACCACCATTACAACAACAACAACAACAACAACACGACGATGCACAGTCCAACACTGAACCACCACCACATCATCACCATGAAACCAGTCACCTAAAGCACACGGCTGACACCCTCTCCTCCCAATGGATCACAATCAGCACCCTCGACCCCCACCTGGACCTCGCCCTCGGGGGCGGCATTCCCACCGGCCACATCACCGAAATCACGGGTGAATCCGCCGCCGGCAAAACCCAATTCCTCCTCACCCTCCTCCTTGCCGTGCAACTCCCCCCTCCCCACGGCCTCTCCCGGCCAGCTCTCTACATCAGCACCGAAGCCCCCCTCTCAACCCGCCGCCTCTCCCAAATGATCACCGAAAACCCATTGTTCTCCACCCTCCCACGGTCTGCCCGCCCAACCCTCGACAAAATAATCAGCACCACCACCCCCGACCTCGAATCCCAAGACCACATCCTCACCTACCAAGCCCCGGTGGAAATCGCCCGCCGCAACGTCGGCCTCTTGATCATCGACTCAGTAGCAGCCAACTACCGCGCCGAATTCGAGCGCCCCACCCCCAACTCCAACCTCTCCTCCAACATGGGCGCGAGGACCAACGAGCTCATCAAGTTGGGAATGCACCTCAAGGATTTAGCAGAAAAGTACAACCTCGCGGTGGTGGTCTCCAACCAAGTAGCCGATCGTTTCTCAGGCACCGGCGGGCTC